CCCCCCCCCCCCGGGACGTCGCCTCATCAGAGAAGGCCTGGACACGCTTAATAGCGTCGATGGTTGACAGGCCCTCTCTGAACCCATATTGGGCCCCGCTAATGTCGGGGCCCGTTTGGGACAGGTACTGGATGAGGCGGTTTACGAGTACTCGCTCGAACAGTTTACCGACCTCGTCCAGAAGGCATATTGGCCTATACGCCGACGGGAGAGTGGCGTCTTTCCCATCCTTTGGGAGGAGTACCAACGTGGCACTCCTCCACCGCGGGGGGGAGACACCTCTTCGCAAGCACGCGCTAAATAAGCGCGTGTATACCTCCGCGAGGGTGCCCATGGCCAGGGCGTGGACACGCTTGTGAAGGCCGTCAGGACCTGGGGCAGTATTGCCCTTAAGGCCCTTCCTGACGGCCCTCTGGAGTTCCTCCGGCTGGACGTCCAGGGAGTCGTCCCAGTCGGGGGAGTCTTCCCCCGACTCGAAGGGTGGCCCCTCATCCTCCCCGGTAATGTCGGGGAAGAGGGCCTGCACCACCCTCCGGACGAATCCCACGTCAAGCCGTTCCGTCAGCGGGGGCGCCCATGGTCTCAACTTGTTGAGAACCATTTTGTATGGGCGCCCCCACGGATCCTCCTGTAGGGAGTCGAGGAACTCCGTCCACGCCCTGCCCTTTGCCACCCTGATGGCCCGCCTGACGGCTACCTTGGCCTCAAGGTAGTCCTCGCTGACTTGTTCGGCCGCCAGCTCGCCTCTGCGCCTGCAGCGGGCGAGTCGCCTCTGCTGGTGGACGGCTCGTCGACGCAAGTCGGCGATTTCTGCTGTCCACCAGTAGACGGCCCGCTGAGGCCGAGTCTTGGATCGGGGCATCGCAGCGTTACACGCCGCGGTGAGCGTTGCCCCAATCCACTCGGCCTCTTGCAGGGGGTCCGTCTCCCGGGTCTCGGGGAAACTTCCCCGGACCCAACTGGCGGCCTCGCGGAGTTTCCTGAGGGCCCATCGCGGTCGCATCTCCTGGCGGCGCACGGGGGAGAGGACACCGAGCTCCACCGTTATGTAACGGTGATCAAACAGAGTCTCGGTGTCCCGCTCCACCCTCCACCCGGTGATCAAGCGCGCGGCCGAGGGGGTAGCCCACGTGAGATCCACGATGGACTCCCCCTGCGTCCGCACGCAGGTGGCGGTCCGGCCCTCATTCACGAGGACCAGGCCGTGCGCCGCCGCCCAACTCGTCAGAACCCTGCCCTTCTCGTTATCACGCCGGGAACCCCAACTCGTGTGCCACGCGTTGAAGTCCTCGGCTACGAGGACCGGCTTCGAACTCAGACGTGTTAACGTCCGTCCCACGTCCGTCAGCCAGCCCTCAAACAGAGCAGGGCGTCTGGTGGGCCTTAAATAGACCCCAACGACCGCGATGGGCCCCCATTGAACGGCAACGTGCCGTTCCCCACTCTCGATGGGGGTTGTACCGGCACCGACTTCCATCGGATCGCGACCGAGTCCCCCGCCAGCCCATTATCAACAGCCCAATATGGGCTGTCTCTCGGGGGGCGGTGGGGCTCGGACACGATCGCCAACGTGAACCCACTCTCCACCATGCTCTGCTGGAGCAGATCCTGAGCCTGTGGAGAGTGGTTCACGTTGGCCTGTATAAGGCTAAATCCATTCAAATTCGGACGGGGGGGAAAGCGAGGCATTAATCGGCCTTATTGTCCCCCCCTCCATCCGATAGGGCCTCTACCTCCATGGCCTCTGATGGAGGTGAGGCCCTCTTCTCTGGCGCCCCTTTAGGTTGGCGCTGCGGTTGGGGCCCTTGCTTCGAGCCGCCCGCCTCCTCCCCCTTCTCCTCCGCCGGCCGCGCTTCGGCCGGGGGGGGAGCACCGGTGGCGGGCGCCTGCTCCTGTGTGCGCCACCCTGGTATCCTCCCACGCACGTTCCGCTGGGCGCAGGACTTGGCGCCCAGCATCGCCGGCCTGCCCTTGTCCGCACAGAGCGGGCACTTTGGGTCAGACCGGCAGTCGCGGGAGGTGTGACCGGCTACACCGCACCGGTAACACCTCCCGCTCCTGTCCGCCTCGCCGGGGCAGGTTGACCTCACGTGCCCCCTCTCGAGGCATTTATGGCACCGCATGGGGCGCGCCTCGAGAGGGTCCACGCGGGCCACCCCCCAGGCGACCCGGATCCTTTCCTTCCGGGTCAGCTCCCTCGCCGAGGTGAGGGGCAGGCGCATCCAGAGGCCGTGCTTGCCCCCGGCGGCCGGTTGCAGCGCCCCGCACTGGATATCGGAGGCGCCACACTACACGGCCTCCGCCACCCAACCCTTCACCTCTTCCACGTCCAAGGAGTCGTCGAGGTCGCGCAAGCGTACCTCGGCCATCCTCCTTGGACGGTCCACCCGCGTTCCCTCCTCTCCGAGGAAGACCCGCGAGATATGCCCCGCGAGGGCATCCGCCTTTTCGGCATGGCCTTCCCCGGCTATCTCAATGATCTTGGCTCCGGTGGCACCCGATCTTATGTTTACCGGCCCACCGATGCCAAGGTCCTCCAGCTTTATCTCCCGTCGCAGTACGGCCATGGCCTCACGATAGTCCCCGTTGGGACGCGTGAGGACCACGGCCGATGTGCGCGGGAGCCTCTGCCTAGGGGCCCTCTTGGGCGCTCCGCCGGCTTGCCCCTTCGCCGGGGGGCCGGGGGCAGCCGCCTTAAGGGCTCCCTTGGCCGCCTTCTACTCCGCGGCCCTGCTCTTTCTCCCCACGGCCGTCGCGAATGAATCAACGCCCGCGACAGACTGGGGGTGTTTAGTGTTCCCCTTGTTAGGGGGACTCACCTCCTCCACTCTTTGCGTCAGCTGCGAGAGAGGGATCTTCTTCTTCTTCCTCTTCTTCTTCTTGGCCCCCTCCCCCGCAACATTCGCGACCTTCCCTGGGGGGTCTTTCCTCCCCCCTGATCCGACCTTCCGGCCGGCCCCGGGAACCGGGCGGTCCCCCGCAGCGCCCCCTCCCCCCTTTCGAGGGTTGGAGGGGATCGCCGCAGGGCCGCTATCACGGGCCCCGCCGCCGACCAGAGCCCGGATCAGATCCTCCATCCTTTGAAGCTGCCGACCAATCTCCTTATTTGATCGGTCGACAGCCTCCTTGATTTCCCCCCTTACCCACTCCCCCGTGATCTCTCCTGCCTTTGGCAGGAATTTCCCCGCTTTTTGCGGGGCGTGGGGGGATGGCAGGGGGGAACTCTTCCCGCGGGTCGAGGGATTGGTCCGCTTCCTCGAAGCGGACCTCTCCCTCTTCCCCCTTCTCGTCTTTCCCGCCCCCGAGGTCGAGGCCCGGGAGGTGTCCCTCGGTGTGACGACGTCCCAAGTCGTTCTCTCCGGGGGCGCGGGATCCGCTGTTTTCCCGGGGGGTAGGAGGATCCATTGGTAGCCCGGTATTGTCCACCTCCATCATCTCCTCCCTTACCCCCTTCTCCGGCGGGGTGGCGTGCCGTCCCATCGGCGGGGGGTCGCGGGGGGGCGGCATCACCTTCCGGTCCCGCGCCTCCTTCTTCCTCAGGAGGCCGGCGACCTGGGCCCTGAGGGAGGCCAACTCCTCCCTCATCTGCTCCGTCTCGCTCGCCTCCCCGCTCATCCTCGTGGACAAGGCGTCTACGGCGACCCTGGTGAACAGGGCCCCGTCCCTTATCATGCCCGCAAGCGTCCCTTTCAGGTTCTTACTGAGCTTTGCCGTCCCTTCGATCTTGTTGCTGTAGTCATAGATTTCAGCAACAAGATCGCGGGTGGGGAGCTGGGGGACCCGCTCCTCCAGCTCTCTTATCTTCTATCTAACCTAACCCTAATCCTAATCTACCAGGTCCCAAACAGTTATTGTCACAAAATGAACTCATAGACCGCAATAAATACAAACATATATTGTTGTCATTTTTTGAATGTCATATGACATACAATATGCAATATATTACTTTGAACATCATGTACTTTTTTTTTTTTTTTTACGTGTGGAAATCCTTTATGGATACCCGGGCCCCCCTCTGGGAAGGGAGTTTACAAATGGCCCGGGTTATGTGGGACTGCCCCCCTAATGACGATCGGGGTGCCGCCGCTAGTGTTGCGGCGGCTTGGCTTACCGCACTAAAACCACACGGTGACCTGCGCGGTGCTTTTACTTGGGGGACG